CGCCCCCCCCCCCCCGTGGTTCCCCTCACCCGCACACCAACAGGCATGCTCTCTGCCCTTCCCGCCGTCTCCCTCCTTATTCCCACACGCCCGGGACGAGCGGGGCCTTCCACACCCCCTCCCACCTCCACAGAGCACGGAGCCTTGTGGCTTTTCTGAGGAGGAAGAGTTGTCTCCTCTGCACTTGGGCACGGTGGGAGCTAAGCTATTTTAGCAAATTCTTCTCTCCCTCTCGCTACCCCTCTTTTCCAAAGCCTGGCTCTTGCTACAGAGGGTTAGCGGCTTCTCTGCCGGAGCAATAAGCCTCATGACTCAGAAGTGGGAGGGCAGCAAGCAGAACATGATTTAAGAGGGAGCTTGAAATGCATCACTTTAATGTTTGTAAAATATTCCGCCGGTTGCGTCTGCATCAGTCGCTCAGTTCTTGTCTTTCCTCCTGTGGCTCCTTCAGCGGGAGTCACATTTTTCCTGTGTGTGATCGTCCCCTCTCCACTGGCCTGTTGGCTCTTTTTTCCTTCTTTATTTCCATTTTCTCCATTTTTCATCAATCCATCCATCCAACAAAGCACTGATTACGCACCTAGTGTCTATCTCGTTCCTCTTTGTGGGCCCAGGGCCAGGCCACTGAATGTTTGCAGAGGGGAAAGGGCTTTGGGGCTCAGGATCAGACCTTAGTGCACCTGCTTTCACTGCACCTGCTTTGCGGTGCATGGCACCTACAGCTGTTTTTGCTCGCTCCTCCTTTCCCACACACACTGGCGAGAGGGTGTGAGCACAGGTGTGCTGCCTGGTCACAGCTCAAAAGTGTCCCGCTGAGTCTCAGAGCTCAGGTCCCAACTCTGTGTCTTGCTCCACACCTGTCAGGCCCCCAGGTCCCAGCGTCTTTGCTGGCATCCCAGAGTAACACAGGCCCCCAGAGCCAGCCCCCTCACTCCACTCATGCTGCCTCTGGCTGCCTCCCCAAGCTCCCCAAGTGGATTTGGGGGCAGAACAGTGGAGGGGTAGTCCAGTCAGTGAGCTAATGACGCCCCCTCCAAGCCTCATCCCATTTTGGCATTTGAATACCCTGACTTTGATTTTTTTCCTTTAATCCTGAGAATTTCAAAAGGCCTGTGATTGCAGGGAGATATTTTAGACCCTTCCTCTTTGCCTGACGGATGATCAGTCTTAATGCCAGTTATCAAGTATAAAATGGCAAGGATTAATCATTTGTACAGCCTAAAGTACACTTCAAAAAATTAAAGGCTACAGTGCACGGTGGCTGAGCAGAAATCCAAATCCAAGTTCAGAGAATCCTTAGACAGGAACAAACCTTCAAAGGTCAGCTAGTTCATTCCCCAGACTTCAGACAGTGCAACCTTTAATTTACCCGCAGGTGGATGAGAAACCTGTCGGCCCAGCCAGCAGACCTTGACAGCACTTGGCAAGGCCCCGACTCCAGGGGGCCTGGAGAGCACAGGGCAGGGCCAGAACACCTGGCTTCCTGGTTTCGGAGGGGCAGCCCACACTCTTAGCTTGACTCACAGATCCTCAGCCCAGATGCTTCCCCTACGCTAGCTGTGGTTCCTGACCTGATTTGCCTCAAACAGCCCTTTGAGCATTTAACATAAGTTGTGGCCCCTCTCCCAGGAGGTGTGTCCATCTGTACATTTAGTCAGCACATTGTGGACAGTGTTCCTGCCCCCAGAATTTGCCCGAGGCCCCTGACCTGCAGTAAATCCCTGTGGCTGTATCCCCTCAAGTATAGACTCCATACCCTGGGCCTACAGCTGACGGCTTCTCCTTTCCCTGCAGAGGTGGTACAGCTCAGCCTCGCCCCTGAGGAGAGGGTCAGTGTGGCCACAGTGACCGTGGGCCTGAGCACAGTGCTGACCTGCGCTGTACACGGAGACCTGCGGCCACCCATCGTCTGGAAGCGCAACGGGCTGGCCCTGAACTTCCTGGATTTGGAAGACATCAATGTAAGTCACCTGGCTCTGACTCTGAGCTCAGATGCACCTCCCAGGGAAGCCAACTGTGCAAGATGCCGAGATGCCATGTGGTAGCTGCAGGGCCAGAGGGCTTTCTTTTCACATCCCACGTTGGTGCCATTCAGCCTGTTGTCTGGTGTCTGGAGGTATCAGTCCCACCTCATGCAGAGAATAGGATGGATGGTGGCTGCAGGCTGCTAGCTAGCCCCAGAATAAGGTGAACAGGGGAGGCGTGGTGGGCAGGGCAGGAGGTTCCCGGGCAGGGGAGAGCATCTGGCTGAGTACCCCCCAGGAGAGACTCTGGACCCTGAAGCTGGGGAGGATACAGACAGCTGGACGCCGAGGAGGGGGTATTCCCTGTGGAGGGCAGAGGTGAGCCTCTGGGCTGGGTTGGCTGGAGGGCAGGGGCAGCAGGGTGGTGAAAGGAAACAGGATCGGGCCAGAGGGGCCTGCCCAGGAGCCTCGTTTGCTGGGAGAGGGAGTATGGATGTGATGAGTTGAGCAGAAGAAGAGAGCTCCAGAGCTCTCACAGCCTAACAGGAGCAACGGGGGCCTCCTGGGTTCTGAGGGCCCAGGCAGCCCGCACTGGGGTCCCCGCATCACCCCACTGTGCCTTTATGACTGGACAGTTTCTTACACTGATCCTCAGTGAGTTGATCTATTAGCAGAGCCACATTATCAGTGCCTCCCCTTCTACTGGACTTGAGGAATAAAGGGATTGAGTCAAGAATATGCACTGGCCCTGGTTTGGCAGGGGATAAGGTGGCTTCCTGGGGGTTCATGTGAGAAGATGGAGTGATGTCACCCACACAGGGTGCTGCCAGGATGGCTGACAGGTCTTGAGCTACTGTGACAGGAATATAAGTTTCAGGCAGAAAAGGGGCAGCCCTGGTCCCCTTGTCTCAGGACGGGCCAACCCAGAATGGGCTGCTTGGTCCCAAGAAGGAAGACCTGTGGGATGAGTGGTCAGTTCCTGTAGCCGCTGTGAGCTGGTGAGGGAGGTGCTGGGGCAGAGGGAGCTGGCCTGGGCCGTGTGACCCATGAGATGGACTAGCACAAAGGGCAAGGGACCAAAAAGAGACCAACTGGTTTGCTTAGATGCAACACCAGTCCAGCCGTCAGCCCTGCCCCGCAATGGAGTAGGCATCACAGGAGGCAGTGAGCTCCCCATCCCTAGAGGCATACAAGCTCAGGATCATGGTAAACAATGCTGCTAGCCACAAGAGGGCAGCTAAACCCCATGACCTTGAAGATCCCTTCCAACTCTGAGACTGCTTTGTGGGGAGAGAGGTCCAGCGTTTAATCCTGCAGGAACTACAAAGTTGGAATTCTGCTACTCCCTAGGCCCCTTTGGATGTGCCCTGGAGAACATGGGGGAAGCAGATGGGACGAGGGGGTCACTCTAGAGTCCCACCCTGGGCAGAGCTGGGCAGAAGTGCCCTTCCCCCACCTTTGTCACACCAGGCAGGATGGTTTCCTTGCAATTTCCCCACTATAGTGAGCATAGCCTATATCCCACCCATCTCTGAATGTCAGTACCAGCACAAGCGTGGTGGCCGCTTGATGGTCAGATGCTGGGTGGGCAGAGTTCTTCATCTTCTGAGCCTGAGGTGCCCAGGGCTTGTCTGCGATCTTAGCAAGGGAAGGCACTGTCCTGTTTGTAAAGACTAGAGTGTATGTGTGCGTGTGCATGTGCACGTGTGTGTGCTGGGGTGCACATATGTGTGTGCATCTCTTTCAGGGTGGGTTGTCAGCTTTTAACCATGTTTGGCCAGTAGTGATTAATTCAGAACTAGGTCAGGTCCTCCTGTGTCTGTCTGAGCATCCATGTGCATTGCTTGATGCTCTATTTAAAGACATTAGAAATAAAGGCAGAGGCAGAACTCCTCTTAATGCACTTGCCAGCGGTTAATTAAATTACTTTGAGTGTCTTTCCCCTCCCTTGAACATGCCTCCAGCACCAGCTCAATTGAATTTCTACTTTTCACAGTGAGGTTAGCAATTTGGGTAATTGTGGGTGCAACTGGAGATTAATGGCCTCTTGTTACCTCCCAGGAAACACTTGCTGCTCTGGGCAAGTCAGCAGCCCACAAGCAGGCAGGGGCCTGTGCTTCTCAGAAACGCTAGCGTGAGGGTGCAGGGCAGCGCCAGCCCCGCAGGGGTCCTTGCCCGATGCATGCAAGAACACACACACACAACACAACACAACACGCTCACACACACACACACACACACACGCACCTGCTTTTAAGAGGGGAGGGACGCAGCACAGCCTACTCATGAAGGGCCAGGCTCTGGGGTCAAAAGGACCTGGGTTTAAGCCTCAGTTCTGCCACTTACTAGTTGAGTGACCTTGGAAATGGCACTTGACTTCTCTGGGCCTCAGTTTCCTCCTCTGTGGAAAAGGGGTAAATAATAGATCCTGCCTCATAGGGTTATAATGAGGATTAAGAGACACATGAAATTCTTAGCATATAATGTTCCATGCTAACTACTATCACTCTCATTTTCACAATATTACTAATTATTATTATTATTATTATTATTATTATTATTACTGCTCCCACCAGAGAACACTCTCAATCCCTTGCAGCCCGAGTCCCCAAACAGCAGCCAGCGCAGTCTGGTGAGGCTCCCCGTCAGGCAGATGTGACCCTGGGGTGCCCCTGCTGCCTGTAGTCGCCTTGATTCAGGTCAGCCTTGATTCATCCGGAGGGAGACACTGACCAGCCACCTCCGACAAGTCCAGGGCCGCCACCTTCTCTGAGCCTGCGGGGAAACGGGGATGAGGCTGTCCTCCTCGCGTGGGCATTTTCAGGCTGAGCGTGTCCTAGGACAGTGAGGAGAGCAGCCCCAGGAGGACATCAGGCTGGAGATGGGTAGAGCTGGGTCATCAGGATTCTTAGGGCATCTCTGAAGCAAGATTGGTCAGGGAAGAAAAGCCCGGGGGGGGGAGGGCTACCCTGGTCGAGCAAAGATCGGGGATCGAGGGGTTCGTAGAGCCCCCCAGCCTGTGGCATCTCAGCGCCCTCCCCCACCTGCCACAGTCAGAGATGAAACACGATCACATGCCTTGTAATGATCAACTGGCTCCGAAACGCTGCACAAACAGGGGAAGCTGATCAGCTTACAAAACCCAAGGCGGGCAGATTAGAGAGCACCGAGAGGTGTGGGCCTCCTTTCTTTGTCATTTGTATGAGGCATCTTGATTGGCAACAAAATATTAATCACTTTTTCACTACTCTTAATGAGAGGCTTTCATGAGCAACAAAATATTAATTTGTCTTGTCTTATCTGTTAAGAATTCTGTTAATGAATTCAGTCACAGAGCTATTACAGAATGCCATGCTAATGACACATGTAATTAAACTTTTCTGACTTGCAAACATCAAGGATGCCTCAAGCATCAGAATAATATTTGATCAGAAAGTAAATGTACCCTTCTAGCCCGGAGCCAAGCAAGAAGGAGCCACTTGGATTCCCCAGTGAGCAATGTCGCTGTCAGGAGTCACCAATGTGTACACAGCCATCCAGATGGCCTACGTGGGGAGCCATCCTCTGGATTCACATAATAAGTGCCTGCAAGTGGCAAGCCCTGTGGCAGAGCGTAGAGCAAAGACATTCTCCCCGGCCTCGAGGGGGCAAGGTAGCACAGACCTGTTGTGCCCCGCCCCCGGGATGCCTGAGCCCCCCTCTGCAGGATGCCTCAGCCTCACTGCAGCAGAGGCCATGAGGGGCCCTGCCTCAGCCCCACCCGGGAAAACAAACCCCCCAAGCAGAGGGCAGCACTAGGTACCAGGAGCGCAAAGGCCCCCAAGACAGGTGCTCCCCAGGAGGGGCGGGAATTCTGCCTCACCTCCCGGCAGCGGGTCTCTGGATTATGATACCTCCTTCTGTTTGGGTGATAAGAAATCAATAGTTTCTGCTCATGCACGTTCCCCAGAGCTCACAAAGGGCGGCCTGTAATTTGTTTACTTCCTGGCCAGCTGCTGGGCTCTTTACAGAAGCAGTGGTGGGTCTGGCGGCTTCAGACCTGGCCCTGTGGCCCCCACCTCCGTCCTCAAGGGCCCACGGCCACTGCTCCAGCTCAGAAGCTGAGGGCAGGGGACAGGCACAGCAGCCCCCTGAGCACCACCTGCCGTGATCTTGGGCCAGGCTGCCGGCCAGGAGAGCACCTATGCCGGCGTGCCTGGGCGAGCCCGCACCCCGCAGGCCATGCACTGTGTGCCTGTGGTCAGCATGCCCAGCCTAGGGCCCTGCTCTGCTCAGACAGCCCTGTGCCACGTGGGGGAGGGCAGCCCGTCACTCTGGAGGGCCGCAACCAGAGTCCGTGGGGGAAGTTTACCCTCAGGAAGGACTCTGCCTTAGGAGACAGGGAGATGCCTCTCACCACCGGTACACAAGCGGGAAGGGGACCAGCCAGGTGCCCCCCGAGGGCTCTCTGGGCTCTGGGCTTATACAGTGCTGTGATAAGGAAATTATGTGGGAAGCAGGGACGTGTGGGGCATGAGAGCCCTGCACAGGAGCCAGGAACCTTGCTTTTTCACCTGGACCACAGAGCCTCCATCTTCCCTGTCTCCCAAGGCCTGTCCCCTGAGAAAGGCATCGGGGCTGGGGTGGGGGCCCATCTCTGAGGCAGATCCATACACTTCTCACCCTACCCTGGGCTCCACACTAGGTGTCCTTGAGGTGAGGGGGGAGGCTGCCTCACTTTCTGCAGAAGTGGAACCCATCCCAGGCTGCAGCGCCCTGCCCAGACCACACAGTAGCCACTCAGGAAGTAAAGTGACCGTCCCCAAATCCAGTCTTCACGCCCTCCCCTCGTAACCGTCTTCCTCACTGTCCCTTATATCCCCAAGGGCAGGGGCTGCCCATCAGGGGAGGACACGCAGGGAGAAGACATCCCCAGAGCCCCAGAAAAACTCCTGAATCCTTGCTAGCATTAATGCTGGTGTTTCTACCATCGGTACTAAGCCACTGCTGTGTCCAGG